CTTTTCACTTTTTGATTTTTTTTTTTTTTTTTGCAAAGGATTCTTCCCCCTCCCTCCTCCTCCTTTTCCTCCCCCCACCCCTCCTGTTGGTGGGTTGAGGATTAAAAAAGCAAATCGTCCTCGTCCTCATCCTCAGCGCACTCCTCCTCGGTGCGGCCGCGAGTGGCCCCGCACCCCGGGAGCAGCCGGCACTTTCCTGGGGGCTTCTCAGGTGCAAGAGCAAACCCGCGCCAAGTAAACGCGCTTCAAAGGGCAGCGGCGCCCCGGGAAAGCGGCTCGGGTCTGTGTGTGTGTGTGTGTGTGTGTGTGTGTGTGTGTGTGTGTGTGCGTGTACGTACCCGGGGAAAGATCGAAAGAGAAAGAGGCGGTGTGTGTGTGCATGTGTGCGTGCGAGTGCATGTGTGTGTGCCCCACTCCGGACAGGGCAGGACGGCTCCCAGATCGCTGCCCACGGAGGGGGAGGCTGCTTTGCTCTGGCTTTTGCCAAGTCAGGTGCTGCTGAAGTTCACTAAAGAGCTCCTCTCTCTCTGCTCTGCCCCTTCTCCCCTCTCTCCCTACAGGTGATCAAAGACCGGCCCCGTCTGCACACGGAAGACACCGGGGGCACCGCGCTCCTCGGGCATTTTTTTTTTGCCGTTGTTGTCGTCCCTTTTTCTTTCGTTGTTTTCTCGCTCCCTCCTTTTTTTTTTTTTTTTCTTCTATTTTTTGGAACCGGTTCTTCTTTGGCAGCCTCGTTTTATTTTTAATTTATTTTTTAGTTTTTGTGTTGCTTTATTTCCAAGCCGCCACCTCTGTGTGTCCCTGTCACCCCCCTTGCCCTCCTCCCCCACGCACCCTCCCGCTGCCAGCCCGTGGGGAGGAGGAGGAGGAGGAGGAGGAGGAAGAAGACACCCGCACCCTCCCGAAGAGCGAGCGCGGAAGATGGAGGTGTCCGCGGATCAGCCGCGGTGGGTCAGCCACCACCACCCGGCCGTGCTCAACGGGCAGCACCCGGACTCGCACCACCCCGGGCTGGGCCACTCCTACATGGACCCCACGCAGTACCCTCTGGCCGAGGAGGTGGATGTACTTTTTAACATCGATGGACAAGGCAACCCCGTGCCCCCCTACTACGGCAACTCGGTGCGAGCCACCGTGCAGCGGTACCCGGCTGCCCATCACGGTGAGTGCGGGGCCCCCGGGGGTGGGAGCCCCCCTCGGCGGGCCCGGCCGGTCCGGCCTGCTGAGCCGGGGCCTAGCGCGGACACACGGAGCCCGCCGAGGCCCGCAGCGCCGGGACAAAACCCGTGCTAGTGGGGAACAAGCGGGAGGACCCTTAGGATTAGGGTTGCTCATTTTTGGGGAGGGGGGCAGGAAAAAAAAAATGATCCTTTTAGGGTTGTTTTCCAAGAGGGGTTTGCAGGGGAGAAGAGCAGGGAGGCGAGATCCTGCTGCTCCCGGAGCAACAAGGAGGGCATCGTTGTAGCTCGGGGTCGGTGTGTGCGCGGGGGTGCGTGTGTGATCCGCTTCGCTTCGGCCCCGAGTGGGGAAGGTGCGGGCTCGTCCACAAGCCAGTGTCAGCCCCCCGGCTCATCACACGTGCCAGGCGGGCAGCTGGAGCCTCCGTGCCCTGGGCGG